GGATATTTGACTGAGACATCTGAAATCAGAAAGTTCTTATTAAAGGGAGGGAGCTTCATGAAAGAAGTAGGAAGAAGTACAGAAGAAAACTGTTAATGGGATTAGATAAGCATTTGGCAAAAATCGCAGTAATAAAGCACATTCGACACATAGTCATGTTCAAAGTCTGGCTGGGATGTCACTGGATGTGTTCGTTTATTGAATGCCTGCACTGACAGATATGATTTTAAAGTATTGTTTAAAATCTGCTGTGTCTAAGGGTCAGCACTGGTCAGGCCCTTCTTGTTATTCCATGGAAACCCACTGCTTTTGGAATGGGGACAAAGCAGAAGCCCATTGCTGTGTGGAGCAACCAGCCAGCCAGGGGAAAGGTAAAATCCACATCTCTCTTTCCCAACGATCTAAAGTTTCAAGGCATGTCAGAAGGAGTGGGGTTAATATACGCCCCATCTGAAGGCTGAGTCTGTTGACCCATATATAGATTATACCCACAGTGGGGTAAATCTGGTGCAAAGACTGCTGTTCATGTACATCAGATATTTTGCCTTTGTCTATTCTGTTCAGTGGAGGAAGGCCCAAGGGTAGGCTAAAATACATGTTTTCCTTAACTTGTGCTGTTTGTCTGCCTTGCCAGCAAGAGGACAGCTATAGTCCAGCACTAGCTACACTCTCTGCAACTTGGCACGGTATTGTATCAGGCTCCTCTAGAAAGAAGCTTGGATTAATTTATGTCTTACACTGGCTGTGCAAAATATACAGCTTCCTATGAAGTACAGTGACACATGCTAGTGAGTAAGCCCAGGAATACCTGTGCTCTTCCCATCGCAGACTGGTGTGCATAGGGACCCATGCCGAGAGGTGCTGTCAGCAGAAGCTTCCTTCAACCCAGTGCTCCAAAACTTCCACAAAGCCTAGAGCTCTATATAGGCACCTTTGGGCTTTCAAAATACCCAGGTACCTGCCTGTGGTCTAAACATTTCCGCTAAACTTTGTTTAATGGCTAATCACCTGATGATTTCCCCGAACAGAGATCTAATGTTGATTGCCACTGCTTGCGTGGGGCCTCATCACAACATACAGCTGTGCAGCACAGCTGGGAACGGGAAATCCCCTGCACTAACTTCCTTCCCACATTTCACTGAACAGACTGAAACAGTTTTCCTTTTCTCTGAACAGAGGAGAGGCAGAACACAATGTGAATCTGTTGCTGTTCTGTCTTTTCACAAGTGGCAGGATGCTAATCCCTCTCTTAGTAAATATTCCCGTGGCTTGATGCTGCAAGGCACTGAGCAGTCCCTGTTCCTCTCCACACCACCACCTCCCCCCTTCACGGTCCAGTAAGGGTTTGAGAATAAGCACTTACATCAGTCGACTCATTTTGTGATTGAAGTTCATTTAAGACTGTGCTTACACGAACACACAGCACTGAGCTAGGCTCAAGCTAAGCTGCCGCTTTGCCCTTCTGCCTAGGAACCTGCAGGACTGAAGCAGTGCAAATCGCAGAGCAACTTCCCCATCCGTGCTCAATATTTACATGGCTTGCTTTCCTCTTCTTAAATCTCTCCTAACAAAGCTTTCTTCAAAGATGATTAACAGATGTTGTCATGAAAAAGTTGGTACTTGCCAACAAATGACACATGGGTCTGCCTGAGAAACAGTGCTGTTTCCACAGCTTTCCCCAAGAAGAGATACTTGTGGTAATTGGTAAGGACTGTGAGAATATGACATTTTAAAGTATCTTCTACCGTTCATAGTTTCCTAAAAGAAGGCTGGTTTCCTGAGAATTTGTTTATCTTGTTCGTATGAAATCATTTGGATAAACACACATGATATAGAAAAGCTAATTAAGCCCGTTATGATTATAGGAGTAAGTGGTGATCTTTTTAGATAACAATGAATTTGGCAAGCAAAGACTTATTTGTAGCAAAAGTAAACAAAACCCCAGCCCTAAATAATAGATAGCCACGTATCTTAATTGAAAACATAAAATAAAATGATTAACTGATACGCAGAAATGATTCTCAAAGTCTAGAAGGTGACAAACAAAAGGACAGGATTTTATTATCCATTGCAAGATGAGCTGAAATGCACAGCCAGCAATCCCCAACCAAAAAAAAAAATAAAATGGAGAAAAGGATATGTGCAATGGACCTGGCTGGAATGTACAAGCACAGAACCATTTCTGTGTTTACCTACCCATTACATGCCGAAATCTAAAACCCAGGAGCCTGGCCTTCTGTTAGCAGTTTGGAAAAGCAAACTGGGGAGATGGCAATGTCTGAGAGATCTTTTAATAGTTATGAACAGAAATGTTTTGAGGATGGTAACCCAGATATTGATGAAAGTCCTAGAAATTTATTGTTAATAAAAAGGTGTGGGTTTTTTTCCTGGGAGGTGGAAAGGAATGAGCATTTAGTAGGTTTGCAGAAACTATTTAAAAGCAATATGAGTCTTTTGTGATGCTCAAAGCAGGTCTCTCAACACATAAATTGTAAATATTGTTTTCATATAAGTTTCAAATAAATAACAGATGTAGTACATTTTTACTGCATTCTAAATTCAGCATTTTAGAGGTTGACATTGAAATCCTTTCCTCTCTTTTCTCTCTTCCGTGGACCTGTTGTTAAAAGCATGACTGCTCTGCCAAAAAGTTTATGTTTTGAAAGGCTTTTATTCCTTTTTTTATTCCTTTTGTTATTCCTTTTGTTCTACTGTATGACTGCATGCTACAACATGCACCAATGAGACTGGTGGCATTTTATAGCTATCATTTATGTCTCATCCAAACCTGCCATAGTAAGAATACTCCCACTGACTTTACTAAGCTTCAAATAGGGGGTATATTTGGGATTTAGCTTTAGCTTCAATTAATGTCTCAATTCGCTGTGTACTTCAAAAGCAAGTAAGGAATAGTCAGTGTTGTCACGTTCCACTTCTACAAAATAATGGTCAGATGTACCTGACAGGTTTTAAGTTTAGGAAATATAACAAATTCACAAGCTGTCCAATTAGAAACACCATCTTACAGACACATAGCAAGAGGAAATTCAACTAATCTGATGTTTATTTCTTTAACATTCTATTAAAGCAAAGGAACTCTATAATGAGATTACTCCATTTTATCTCTTAATTGTATCCAGATATGCAAAACAGATTTATTGCTAGTGGCTTGTATACAGTACAATATTTTAAAGCTAATTATGAAACAGCATTACTATTGTCACACAATGAAATACTTATTCTTACTGCTATGAATCAAGACCATTTGCTAAAATTAACTGTAATTACCTTTTTAATTGGATATAAACCCTCCTAAATTCTGAAACAGCTAGTTATATAAATATAGTTCTTTTAAATCCAGGATGATATCAGCATAAAATATTTTAATTAAATAGATTGCAAAAAAGGAAAAAAAGATACATTAAGTAGTTTTCCATTATTAAGCCAGCTGTAAGTCAAGTCTCGAAAGCATTCAAGTTTTTATTTTCGAACACCTGAAATCTGCCATTGTCCATGTAAGCATGCATACACATCCTCCCAAAGCAGTGTATTAATAGTTTAATTGTTCATCAGTGTAGTTAGCACCTGGCTTTTGTTTGTATCATTCTACACAGAGAGGAAAGCATATTAAAGTATTTACACTCACAAATCCCCAGGGCCCAAAATATATAGAAGTCTTTTCATTGCTTATGTATATAAAACAATAAACAGGAAAAAAAAGTTAAGTAAATAGTTTTAAAAGAACATTGTATCAAAGTTCTTCTGTTCAGAAACATTGGTGAGTAGATGGTGAAAATCTTGAGCTGTTAGTCACAATTATTGAATAATTTTTTAAAATACTGTCCCTGTGCTCAAGGTACCTCAGGTATCTTGATCATACAGCTCACCAATGCAAATTAAATTTCAGGTATTTATAAGCTGTTACTGCAAACTAAATCTAGCATTTTGCACACATTTCAAACTACATGTTTAAGCTCTGTTTTCCAGAACAAATATTCATAATAGGAACAACTGAAATCTTGACTACAGACTAACCACAGCTTGTTTGCAAGTTTTACTCGAATATGGGATACCTTTTCCCAGTCTCAAACTTAGTGGTAAAGGGACAAGAGAGAGACACTTGTTTATTCCAGAGAATGAGGCAGCGGTTTAAAACTTACCTGAGTTCTTAAACACCAGCCATCTTAATGAGCATTATTTTTCAACACTATTCTACCTGTATTTCATATACAGGCACATCCAAACAGAATTATATTTACACCCACTATAGTAATTAAAGCAGTTACATTTTGATGAGCTGAAAAGAATCCGAACTGCCAGAGAAGATAAACCAAAAATATCAAGTATTTAGAAGGAAACATCTTACTTTTTATTGACTTACTATAGTAAGGACTTAACTGCATATTAAATCACCCATATTTTGGTGGAAATTGTTAGATTCTGATGCTGATTCTACATTTGATGACATGTTATCCATGTAATTTCATGAATAAATACCACAGAATGTATATCTGAGACTATCAAAAATTTTTGTTTAACCAGAAGGTCACCACTTAGTAAAACCCAACACTTCATGTCTATTTTCAAGAATATATACTTTCAGCTAACTGTTTGGATCATCCTTCAGTGTCATTATGCAACCAATAAATATTTATGTTAACACTTAGCACAACCTATAAGGGCATTAATTTTCTATTTATTTGAAGAGCCCACCTTATCTAGGAAGGCTCTTCTAGTATCTCTGTGATCTAGATTTCATTGTAGATATTATTCACTCTAAACTTAAAGTCTTTTCTCTGCACACCAAGTGTTAAATTATATTGGTTTACTGTCTGTATCATTCTATTTTTACTGCAGGTCTTCAAAGATTAAGATTAAAATCCTTTGAATTTAGTAGGATTTTGACAGTAATTCAAGCAGTGCAAGTCTTAGCTCTGTCCACCTAATTGTGACATTATGAATTTCTGAGCTCTGTTTGTGTCTATAGAAACTGTATTTACCTGCTCTGTGAATCCTGTCACCGGATCCTTGACAGCCATCCTCATCATCACAATCCCCACTTGACTCCAGCTCTTCACTTCCACCCCCACTGCCAGCGTCTCGGGAAGCCCATCTTTCCAGTTTTAATTTTGCCTTCTCAGCATCCAGCTAAAATGGAAGAAATGAAAAAACATCAATGGTCAGAATATTTTCACTATTCCTACCTCTGGTGACCAAGCTGGGCTTATAAAGCAACAAGCTTTTTCTCATTCACTTTCAAGCACTGCTCCTCAAGTTGGAGGTTTTTTCTGGCAGTGACATCCAATTATTTTGGAATAAGGGAATATGCCATCAAATCTTTTCCACCACAGATGACCAGGGACACTCATCATCAAACTTTTAATTAAAAACACCACATCTACCAATATCATCACAGGAAGCTCTGGCCCTGTAGTTTTTCCTGTTGCAAACCACAGTTTGGAGATCACTGCTTAATGATGGTACAATCTGCCAGACGTCTCAGTACTTATTTTGGGTTATTTACAATTGAAGACCACAATATATTTGACAACCTCTGAAGAGTTGAGGGTATTTGCTATTTCCATTATGGGCTTGGTCACTTGGAAACCCTGGACCCTGGATATGATTTTTAAGACAGTGTCATTTAAGACTTCTGTACCAAGTGCAAGTTGTTCATTAAATTTCACTTGTAATATATTTATTGGACTGAGTACAGAATAAGAAAGCCTCCTCTAAAATAAATTTAAATGCATCATACTAGGTCACACTTGCTATAACAACACATTTACTCCCCAAACGCATCTTTTTGACCTTTGGATAACTCTTTCTCCTTCTGTCACCATGAGCAGTTGCATACTATTAGTGCTGTGGGAATAAATGATTTTTCAGTTTGCTCGTAGTTCAAAAAAATTAAAAATACCATTTCATTTTCAGCGAATCTAAACCCAGCCTATCCAGGGAACAACAAGAGCAGCACTATTTGATAAGAAATGAAGTAACTGCCTTAGACTAATATATTCTGTTATAGGGAATTTGTCAAGGAAGGATGATTCAGGAGAAACTTGAACCTGTCCCCCACACCTGAAAGAAGCACGTGCTTGCTGAGCTACATGGCACCTCTCCTGTTGGAGCTGTGCCATTTTTGTACAACATTTCAGAACTGAGGGGCTCCACATTCTTTGGCGGCCACCCTCCTCAACAGCTTCTATTAGTTTTTGCTACTGCAAAGGGTGCTTCAGGGTATTAGAGAAGGCGAGACAGCTTCTGCAGAGAAAAGCCCCAACAGCTCAGCTTCCCCTATAGCCCAGTGATAGGGAAATACCCTGAGTCAGAAGAGATTTTTTCACAAGCTGGCTAAGTTGCCCTGGATACTATCGAGTTTCTATTCTCCCATGCCTATCACCCCCCATTTTGTGAGTGACTACCAATTTATTTTCTGAATCTTGTTGGAAAATTACACCAGGGGTGTTGTTTTTGTTTTTAAGTGATGGAAAGAGACATTCCAGTATTTCTGACTGCTTCTCTCACGCAGCTGAAACTCAACCTCCAATGCATGTGAACATTGTTTTGAAGTGCAGCAGCTTGTTTGTCTCCTTTTCAGAGCTAAGAAAACCTTGTTCATGTTAGCTCTTCTTGTACGGTATGATGAGGTACAATTAGGACCTGTTATTCTAGTTATGTGGAAATATTTTAACCAAATGGAAAGACTTTGTAATGCTTCTCAAAGTCAGTCAGATTCTGGATCTATCCAATACCTTCATCACAAGTATCTTCCCCCCAAAGTATTGCAGATCCATTTCAGGCTTTGTGATCTTCTTTATCCCAGAGGACTGGGATTATACATCAATTCAAGATGTATTTTGAAATGTAGCTACTTTGAAGATTCAAACACATTTCACACTAAAAAGGAGGTGGGCTGGGAGCTGGGGGAGGAACTGGAGCACGGGGCTAATACAACTGTATTAACTGGGTTGAAAGGATGATGACGGATGCAGCGATTTCTCTGTAGTGGGAAGCTTTGTGTGGTAGTCTCCTTCTTCTTCAGATACCGTGAGCTGCCATCCTTCACTCTGGGGCTGACAAATGCTTGGATCAGTGCAGCAGAGATCCTGTTCTACAGAACAACAGATGCCAATTTCTATATGGCAGAACTCAGGAAATTTTTCACCCTTTCACTGAAAAGATCTGTTTGCTCACCCTGAAGACACAAATAACTTCACACTGCAGTGGGAAGATCAGTAAGTGGGAGGAGAGGGTATGGACTCTAGTGGGGAAGCACATTAAACACTCTCTAATTGTTACTGCATGACTGTTTTTTATAAACAAGTTGCTTAATGTTGAGCCTCGCTATTCACAGGCGTAAAGACTGATGTCATGGCAATACAAAACAACATTTTGTTAAACGATTGGAAAAAATTGCCTGTGAGGGAGAAAGATAACTCTGTTCTTACGCAGATTTATTGTGTCCTGACCATATTAGAGAAGACTCACTCATTCTTAGTTATAATCCTTCAGAATGAAAAGAAATGGCTAAGTCGTGACCAGAATGGACACAAAATTTAACTAAAGCCTTTTAATGATTGTTTGCCAGTTAAAGCAGAAATATTTACTGCCTGTGAAGGTACTCCTCCTCTTCAAAAATTTTATTTCATTCAGCATCCATGGCTCAATCCTCACCACTGCTCAAAAGAAGGAAGTACTTGAACCAAATGTGCATCAACTTCTTTGACAAAGACCAAGAAACAATCTCAGTTTTTCAACATGTTGCACTGCAGAATTTACAGACTTCTGGGTTCCTACTGCCTTCACTATAAAAAGGGATTAGCTGTAGCCCAGACCTGCATCTCCTGCCCATATTAATGAAGGCATACCCAGCTCTTCCTTGGCTTGCCAGTAGAGAGGGACATCAAATTACACAGAAATGTTATATACAAGTTCATCATTACCACTCAAAGTAAACTCAGGTGTGACCTACCAACCCTTTTCACCTCATATACCCTTTCCCAACATCTTCCAATGACTTTTCTGTCTGTGGCTACCATTCACCAAGAACGATGGACCAGAGCCCAACTTTGTGCAGAGATAATGGTTTATTTATAAATAAACTCGTTCCAGGAGATGAAGCAGTGTAGCCACTTCAGTGAGGAGCTCCACCTACACTGTGCAGCCCTGTTGAGAAAGCAATGCCACCATTGCCTAACGACTTGTGATCTAGCACCCTTCTCTTTTCCAAATTTTGAAGGAACACTTGTCCTTTGGCTACCACCACTTGACTTCAGTGAAATCACTGTTTCAGCACAATAGCAAAGCGTATGTCAGCATTTCTCCATCTTTTTTCATACAATCATAGAAAACTTTCTCAAAGCTCTGAGAGTGCACTGAAATAGCACAGACTGAATCAGAATGGACTAGGATGGTGGCGCTTTAGAAGAAGATCGTAACAAAAGACATTAACCTTGACTTTATATTAAGCTCTACTAGGTCCAGAAGATGGGCGTGGGCAGGGAATGCCTGTAGTGCCTTGTGGCTGAGTCCCCCCTCTCAGGGGACTGAGAGGTCTCCACCAGAGGAGCTGGAGGTCATATGAAGGTTCATGGCATCTTTGGAGACAGTCATGATCTGTTAAAAAGCCTGAACAATTCTCCAAGCTGCTGCCACCAATCACTAAAACTTTCTGCTTCCCCATAGATGGCTGTAGAGAGAATCACAGTCCCCTGCCCATATTTAACACTGGAAATCAGAGATTGGAGTCAGTCATGGCATTTCTATTATTCCTTAAAACCTACTGTTAAACAAGCCTTATTTTGCTGACTTATGCTCTGTCTGATGATGCATAATGTCATCCAGACATCTCTGGCAACTCTGAACAATAGTTCCAGCCTGGGAGTGCAGTGTCTTGATGCCGAGAATTGATGCTTTGGTTAAACAATTGCAGCGGGTTGCAGGCTGGGCACTGGGACTTGTATTTTTACCTTCACAAAGCAGAAAATAGCTGCTGCCTAAGATTCCAGAAAAGACTGGAATCTTAACAGCTTAAAAATTAAGTCTTCAAGTTTTTGTCACATCTGAAAGACAATTATTTTTTATTATTTGTGAAAAAGTTATATAATTAGATCAATAAGATTTATACAGCCCAACTGAAAACTGACTCAAATCAGGATTTTTCCCAACTGCAATAGGCTTTGGATCAGGTTCACAAACCTCTAAAGGGTTTTTGATAAACTATACAGTCTTTCAGTGGGAAAGTTTTAGTATCTATATCTGATTCAGCTGAAAGGTAAAAATCACATATTACCATTCAGCTCTGAGTCAGATACAGATGACTATCTGCATGCATTTTATTTACTCCAGCAAAGGTGCCAACCTTAAGTGACATTTAAAAAAAATGTTCTGCTGATGTATGGTTTTACAGAGAAGGAAGAAGTCATATGAGAATGGTTGCTGTCTTTCTCCCCTATTAATACATGATGCAGCACAGGCATTCCCAGTCACATAAAAGAGTCCTTCAGACTTCAGAGGCTTCAAAGAGTATGTGACACACAAGCTCTGAGCTTTCTATGATGAGTCTAACCCTAATTATCACTCTGACCACAGGTATGTTAGAATATAAATTTATTCTCATAGTTTTTCATGAAGGCATGTTCCAGTTGAATACTTCCACACATTAATTAAATAATAGCTGTTTAGGTCTGTGAAAACTATTAAATAAAAGTGCCAATTTCAATCCATTTTATAGATTGGTCTATTTTCTGAGGGGTCATATGTGCATGTATATTTGAGGGGAAGACTCCAAGCTGCAGGATAATAAACTCATTTCATCAGAAAATAGGTTTTAAAATTATATTTTGCACCAGTTTCAGACTTTTCAGGTCAGTGAACACAACAATGAAAATCTAAGAGAATACACTCTTTGAATAAAGCCACTTAAAAGTTGTGTTCTTGGAACATTCAGAGACAAACCCCACACAATTGTTTCCTGAGGGAATTGTTAATTACTTTTTTATATGACGGATTTCAGTGTGAATGCTTTTCCTCTCTGAAAAGACAGCTTTGAGGTAAAATCTGACTTCTATCCACTCATCATGTGAGCACTCGAATCACTTGCTGGTGTTTTCACAGTGATCAAAAAATGGCAGATTATATATTGC